AAGGGCCAGTCATCAGCATCAGCCACCGCCCTCCCATCCTGGCCATCCAAGTCCCACCTGGCCACCAGAGGTATCTTTTTAAGTCAGACTGTACCAGTGGGTGAAGGATTAAGAAGATGGTTACCTGGGCAGAGGGATTCCATTCAGCCTCAAAGGGAAAGAAGCACAACCACGGGGCGACATGGACGGACCTCAGGGCTCAGGGCTCAGAGCTGAGCTTCTTCACAAAAGAAGCCAGATGCCAAGACCCCGTGTTGGGCAATGCCATGTCCAGAAGAGGCAAATCCACAGAGATAGATAGAAGACTTGTGGGTGCTCCCGGCTGGAGAGAGGCAGGAATGAAGAGTAGCTGACTAATGGGCCCAGGGTTTCATTTTAAGATGAGAAAGTTTCAGACCTAGGTAGCAGTGAAGACTACCTAATGTTGTGAATGTACTAAATGCCATGCATTGTCCTCACTTCATTATGGTTAAAATGTTCATGTTATGTGTATTTTACTACACTTTAAAAAAAGCAGGCACAATGGCGCACATCTGTAATCTCAGCAGCTCAGGAGGCTGAGACAACAGGGTTGCGAGTCCAAAGCCAACCTCAGCAGAAGTGAGGCACTAAGCAACTCAGTGAGACCCTGTTTCTAAATTTAAAAAATACAAAATAAGGCTCAGTGGTTGAGTGCCCCTGAATTCAACCCCCAGTACCCTATCCCTCTCCCCACAAAAATCAAATCTGTCCCTCTGCTGCTTAACTCTCCCCACCTGGCTTCTTGTACCCCCAACGGGCTCCAACCCTGTGGCCTCTGCCCTCCTCCAGGCCTCACTTCTCTCCTCTCTCCCTCAGTGCAGGATGTTCCTGAGGTTCTGGCCTCCTTTGGTCTCCTATTGGGTCTCTGTCCCACCTCAGGCCTTTTGCATGTGCTGTTCCCTCTGCTTAGAAGCTTGTCCCTCTTCATGACCAGCTCTACTTCATCTTTCAATATCAGCTTAAATGTCACTTGCCTCCCCTGGCCTCCATGGCTCAATGGGTGTGCATCTCTATCCCCACTTCTCTGCTAGCATCCCCTGGTCATTCCTTTATACTGTTCACTTTGTCACTGGGTCTTGGTATGCCTCCCTGTGGAGAGGGGTGGGGTGAGGCAGAGGGGACCTACCTGCCTGGTTCACCTCAGTGTTCTCTGAACCCAACTCCTAGCTGATGCTCAGAACCGATTTGCTACATTAGTGAGAAATCACTCACCAGCAAAGGAAGGGATGGAGGGAGGCAGGACTGAGATGTGGGCCTCTCTGATGCCAGTTGCTATGCTCTTTCTGAACAGTGAAGCCATTGGAACCGARTTCCCCTTTTCTTTCTTTTTTCCAGTTCTGGGGATCAAACCCGGGCTTCATGCATGCTAGGTAAGTGCTCTAACACTGAGCTACACCCCCAGCCCTAGCAACATACACTTTTAATAAAGCTACATTGTTGAAATAAGTCCCCAAGCCTCACATGGATGTCATCATGTGGCTGTCACTGCTGCAGATGAATCATATCTGCTGGGAGAGGAGCTCCTGGACCCAGACCACAGACGTAACTCTGGGAAACCCAAACAGAGCCCCTGCCCACCCCTGGCTGAAATCTCTTCTACTTCTCTCTCTTCCTTTCCGTTTTCTCATATTCTCCCAGAGCCAGGACCTGGTTTATGCCCTAGGAAGGGAAGTGGTCAACTGTGGAGGCTGAAAACTCTGCCCTGGAGTAACCAGAACCAGCAGAGGCAGCCCTCTCTCTTCCCCCTGCATAATGTCGGAAGCAGACACTGCCTGGCCCAGCCCCAGCTGTTCTGGGAACACAAGCGTTACAGACCCCCCAGGAGTGGACTCAGATCTTCCCTGAAACGCTCCATGAACATCAAAAGGTGGGACACCCAGAGAATCCTGAGCTGATGACTGACAAACAAACTGGGCTCACTGCTAGGGGTGGGACAGGGACTCCCTTGTGCAGGGGGACTGGATGGCATTGCCGAAAGCAGAATAGGTCCTTCTCTAAAGCAGTTCCTAATCTTTTTGTAACCTGGGGCCTTTGGCATCTGATGAAGCCTCTGAGCCTCTTCTCGAGTAATATTTTCCAATGTGGGGTAGTTAGCAAAGCAAAGTGACCTTGAAATGCAGTTTCAAATTAATTTTAAAATTAGGATAAATACATGAAGTTCTTGGCTAATGCATTAGACTATTGAGATCAAGTAATATTTTGAGATACCTATAGTAACTATTATGATCTCAAAATCATCTGTTTGATACAAAGTATTGGTATTGCTAACACAACAGAGGTTKTATTGCCTACATTCATAATTAAATAAAATGTCAAATTTCAATCAGAGGTTAATGAAAATAAAGAGGTAATTTTTTTCCCACCCAAGTTCATGGGCTTTGGGACTCTTTCTATGGACCACAGGTTACTCTGCCCTAAGGATGATTGGCCTCACTTCTCCAGCCAAAATGGGTGCTCTGTGAGGACAGAGGCCATTCCTTCACCTGATACTAAGTATCCAGAAAGGCCCTGCTGCACAGTAGGCACAATAGTATGTAGGTCTCTTAGATTTTTCTGGAGATAAGTCTAGTGATTGTGAATGAGAGTTTCTTTTCAATCTTTGTACTTCTTTCTTGTCTTCTTGTGTTGGCTAGAATCTTCAGTACAGTGTTGAATTGTAGCAATAATTGTACATCTATCTTATGATGCTTAATACTCATTAATTTATGCAGTGGGAATGTAAAGCAACTACTAAGTGCCAGATTCTGTGCTGAGAAAGATATAACACAGTTGAGATCTTTTCCTATCTCCTGAGAAGACAGGAAGATATCAGTGATAATAGCAATGTTAAGGCCTAAATTCTTCAGAAATACTGAACTGCTCCATGGGACCCTATTTCCCCCCAAAATATGGAAATAGATGCCTACTGGAGGCCCCAGGGCATAGTTAAGTTTGGGAGCTGAAGGCCTTACCAGGAGCACCACAGTGGGGTACAGATGTGGGCACTGGGAAGGATACAAAAATGAGGCTTCCATGGGCAGGGGGTCGGCCAGAGGGTGGGGCCAGGGCCAGAGCTTGGCCTGTTGAGGCCACCACCTACTTGTGCTAAGCTTATAACTACCAGCAGGACCCAAGAGGCCTGCACTTCGAGGAGAGATGGCTCCTCCCTCTCCCTCTTCCCTTCCCCACTGCAGGGAAGTTGGGGCAGAATATTCCCCACATCCTGTCCACTCTGTCCACGGGCCCTGGGGGGAAGGGCAGAGTTTTTGATTAAATATAAGAAGTTTAAAATGGACCAGACCCATGGCATGGGGACTGGAATGGGGCTGTCAGAATAACAAAGCATGAGAAGTCACCAGGAAAATGGTTTTAGGAAAGCCTGCTGCCCAGCGGCACTGGGGAGAGCAGAGGCAGTAAAGCCCCTGGAAACATCGCTAGGGAGATGGATGAAGCCCCACAAAATACCCAGGTCCTACTCCCCAGGACCTGTGAGCATGTTGCCTTCCATGATTGAGGAGATCTTGCCCTTGTGAATAAGCTGAGAATCTTGAGATAGGAGAAGATCCTGGATTGTGGCGGTGGGGCCAGTGAAAGGAAGGTGCTAGAGGTACCATGTCAAATACGGAAAAGGGAATGTTGGTAGTTCAAAGTCGAGTCACTTGAGAATCTGTGATTTGAAAAAGGGCCATTTGGCCTGCGTTTCCCTACATGCAGCAGCACATCATGAGATTCTTCTAGGGAGGATGTCCTTCACATGCCAAAGCAGGAAAAGAGACTTGGTCCCCAGAATCTGGTCATTAGAGCTACAACTGACCTGAATAAATAAGCTCTCTGAAGTAACCCCTATCTTCCAGAAGCTTCCACATCTCCTCTCCTCCCCATATCCCTGAGTGACGTCCCTAGAGTTTCATACCTAGTCCAGAGACTCACCTGATCTCTCTGTCACTCCTTCATTGTGACAGCATCATACTTTAGTCATTTCTTCTCACTTCACCCTCTTGGGAAGATCACCACGAATGTGTAAAACTAATATGACTCTCATGTTTTTCTCTTGTCACCCAGTTCTTGTATTAATTGGGTTCCCAGATCTAGCCCAAAAGCCCACAAAGAACCAAGGAGGAAGTGGTGGTTCTCTTTCTCCCTACAGTAATCACAGGGTCCTTATGAGGGGGAGAAGGGACTCTGAGGTGGAAGCAGAGGTGGGGCTGAGTGGCCGGGAGACAAGGAACACAGGCACCTCTGAGCGGACCAAGGCAAGGAGCCGGCTGTCCCCAGAGCCTCCAGAGGGGACATGGCCTGCCAGCAAGTTGATTTTAGCGGTGTAAAGAGCCACTTCACAGTTCCAGCCTCGTGACTCTAAGAGAACACATTCTGGTGTTTTAGGCACTGGGTCTGTGGCGACATGTTACAGCAGCAACAGGAAACTCATACCAGCCCCAGGGGCTGCGCGGCACCCCCACAAGTAAACCAGCAGATGGCCTCTGCGCCTGCGAGCCTGGGACCAGTGGCCTGTTGAAGACACGCTAACAGGACAAACCCGAGGCACAGCCGCTGCGAGGGCCGCAAAGAGCCAGGCGGGCTCCTCTGACCACCCAGGCCTGGAGCAGGGCGCCCCTCCCCTCCTCCAGCCTCAGTCCCATCAGGGGAGCCCCCAGGGTTTCCAGGTTGGCCATCCCCTTAGGACACTCTGCCACCCTCCGCCCTCTGCCTGACAGACTGTGCTGGGGACGGCGGACGAGGCCACCCTAGGGAGTCGGGAGGCAGGGGTGGCGGGGAGGCTGCGGGGGGCCCAGCCTCGACCCTCCGCGGAGGAAGGAAGTGCGTCCCTCCCCCGCCCCTTCCCGGGTCGCGGATTCCCGTGATTCGCGACGGGCCGCCGGGCGGGACTTAGTCCGTCCGCAGGACGGGGGCGGGGCGGGCACGGGGACGCGCGCTGGGACCCGGCCAGAGCCCGGCGTCGGGGCGGGGCGGGCCTGGAGGAAGGGGCGGCGGCGACGCGGGGCTGCCAGTCGCTGCGGTGGCCGCGGACGCGCGGTGAGTTCCCGGCCGGGGTCGCGCCCTCCTCCCCCATCCCGACCCCTCAGAGCAGCGGGGACCCTCGCACCCGGGGCGCCCTCGCCGAGGGAACTCCGCAGGACCCGCCCCCAGCCGCGCCCGTGCTCGCTGCCCCCGAGGGCGGAGGGACCCCGGGACCCCGCGTCGCCGGGTGCCAGGCTGCAGGGCAGCCCTCCCGCCGCGGCCTTGTCCCCCTGGGGTCCAGTGCCAAGAACTGTCCTTTCTCACCGCGCGCGACCCGGCCAGGTGCCATCACTTCATCACCCAGGGCTGCAACAGGTGGCGCAGCGCCCATCGCGGTCTCCCTCCCGCTTACAGGTGGAGACGCCGGGACTTGGAGAGGCGCGGTACCTTGGGTCGCAGCCGAAGAAGGAGACAGAGCCTGAACTCACAGCCAGGTCTGTGTGGAGCCCCGTCCTTCCATCCCTCTGTCCTGCCCCAGTCCCTGCTGCCCAGGGGAACAGGGACAGGGAAGGCAGGTGGGGTACCCCAGGAGGAGCCCAAAGTGAGCCCCCCAACCCGTCCCTGCAGAAGGAAGGCCCAGGGCAGCAGGTCCTTCACCTGGAAATTCCTTGGAACACCCACTCTTGGGTCAGGGGAGCTAAGGAACAATAATGGTRGGCTAGGGTTGGGGTGACCTCCAGGAGAGAGGGGGGCTTTCCTCTCAGCCAGCCCCCTCCAGGAATGCTGGAGGTTCCTCTGCCAGGCCAGGGCAGGGGATCTTGCAGGCTTAGCCATGTGACTTTGTCGCTTTGTGTCTCAAGTTTCCTTATCTGCCCCCTGGGGTTCAGCCTGGCACCTACCTCACAGGATGCTGAGGAGATTAAGTGAGATGCCTGGTGTAAAGACTTAGCTCAGCTTCCTACCAAGCTGTGTCCCCTCCCTCCCATCCCACACCTTTGGAAGCGCTCCTCCTCCTGGGCCCCTCAAATCTCAGGCTGGTGGGGCTCTAGATCTGCAGTATTTCCGGAGGTCCCCTACCAGGAACTTGAGTAAAACCAAGATCAGAGCCAGCAACTTCTCCCCTGCGAGTCCCCTGGGGGAAAGCTGTTGAGGACAGGGTTTTGACAAGCTTTGGGCTAAAACTTGCATAATTCCAGGCTCCTCTGCGGCCTCCAGCCCTCCCCCACCACATTGCTGTCTAGCAAGGAGGAAGCCCAGAGAGCTCTTGCCACAGCCTAGCTGGCCTGGTCGCCCTTGGTGGCTTGGTTCTCCATTCCCCACCCCACACCATCTCCCCCTAAGCATATCCAAGTCTGGCCTCTGTGTTCTCACTTTGATCCCCAAGTTCAGGCCAATGTCACTGTCACTGAGGGCCTCCCCTTGGCCTCCCTGCAGCATTCTTGACCCCAAACCCTCATCCACCTTCCATACTTGGGCCCCAAGTGATTATTCTTTTTCTTTCTTTTTTTTGGGGGGGGCGGGGGAGGCACTGGGGATGAACCCAGGGCTGCTTAACCACTGAGCCACATCCCCAGCCCTTTTTATATTTAACTTTGAGACAGGGTGTTGCTGAGTTGCTGAGGCTGGCTTTGAACTTGCATTCCTCCTGCTTCACTCTGGACTCATCTCCTGCCGCTGTCCTCCATCAGGAGTCTCCCCATTCTCCCAAGCTTCTTGCTCTCTCAAGGGGTGAGAGCGCAGGCTCTCCTTTCCCCAGGAACACCTTTCCCTGAAATATCGAATGACTGGTCCCCTTGACATTCAGGAAACTGTAGCTGTCACTTCCTCAGGAGTCTGACCACTCCACTTGCAGGAGCCTCCCTCGCACGCACGCTGGCTGCTTTCTAGTGCGTGACCAGGTTTTTTCCTTCCCAGCACGCAGCCGAGGGTGGCGGGGAGTGTGGTCTCGCTTATGTATTTCTTTCCTTGGGTTTTTTTTTTTTGTCTCCTGGGGCTGAAACATCAGCCTACCCTTGACCTGACCTCTTTTTCTTGCCTCTTCACCCAGCACAGTTCTTGGCATCTGGTAAAGGTTCAGATAATTTTGTACAATCGCCAGCAGAATGTAAAGCACCAGAGGCCTCCATTTCTCCCTTCTTGTTGCTCACCAGAGTTCTTTCTGCCTCTCTGCATAGACCTCAATATTGTCACTCCTCCCAGTAGCCCTCTGCCTTCCTCAGCTTTTCCCTAAGGGGGGGCTGTTCTAGATTGTGCCCAGAATATCCAGTTCAGCTGTAAACATTGTTGTACATTTGTGTAAATATTGTCATTGCTGTCAGATGACTTTTTTGACATATAATTTCCAAAGTGAAGTGTTCAGGTCAGGGGTCTGATCATCTTGAAGGCAGCGGACCCTTGTTGCCAAATGCCCATTAGAGCAGTGATCCCCAGAAGTGTGCATAAGTTTCCCCACAGCCCTGTGAGCATCATGCTTTATCACTTTTATTTGTCTTGACTAGTTTAATGGGGGAGAGCCTGGGAGTTCTACATTTTTTGCTGCTTGAATGTGTGAAGCTGGGTACTCATGGGTGCCAGCTCTGCTTCCTGTCTTGTGAGGAAGGGACCCTCCAGAGCACCTTGGTCCTTCCCTTCACCTTCATCTGTGTAAAGGAGCTGCTGGAGCCCATCTCATGCAGAAGGGGTGAGGGAGGCCCCCGGGTGCTGGGCCAGGGCTGCACTGAGCTAAACTCGCCGCCTGCAGACGCTGCTCTGTTAGCCAACCAGAAAGAAGCTCTCCACAGTCCTGTTGCACCCAGACTGTGGGAGAGGAGAGAAAGCTGGGGTTTGCTTTATTTTATTTTATTTTTTTTGTATGTGAATTTTTTCCCCAAATGCTAATATTTTACTCTTTTAATTATAAAAATAACACAAAGCATGTAGAATTACTCATTGACACATTGAGGCAAGAAAAGACTGGGGAACAACCTAACTGTCCGTCACTAGAGGCCCACACACGTCTCTGAAGGGGACTCCTATGTGGCCATTACAAGGAGTGCCCTTGGCCCTCAGCGTGCTGGCGTGGGACCAGCCCCGAGGTGCTGTGCTAGTCTCCTTTTGCCATTGATCAAATGCCACAGACTTGGTGGCTTGACACAACCCGCATTTGTACCTGTACAGTTCTGTGGGTCAGGAGTCTATGTTCAGTCTCAGTGAACCTGAAGGGGGCGCTGCCGGGGCTGCCCTGCTTCCTCAGACTGGGGGCAGGGGACTCTGGTGGCCCATCCTACCAACTTCTAGAGGTGCCTGCAGCGGGCCCTTCCTCCGTCTTCAAAGCCAGCAGCTTAGGCACCTCCCGATCTCTGTCTCCTCTGCTTCACATCCACCTCCACTTACAACCCCCCCCCCCCCCGCCGAGTTCAGTGGGTCCACTGGATAATCCCCCATCTCAGAATTCTTACAGTTCAGACTTTACAGAAGCAAAGAGGAGGACAGTCACTCAATCCCAAGTCCAGGTTACTCCCTCTGCTCCCAAAGATGACCACTGTGAACACTCTCACTGCYTCCCTTACAGACTTAAAAAAAGCTTTTAAAGCACGTGCGTGTTTTTTCTACGTAGATGGGGCCATCTTACCCCTGCCATGCTGTGACAGGATCTTCTTTCTCTTTTCTACATCTACACTCGCAGACTATGCACCCTCCCACTGCTCAGGTGCACAGCAGGCAACCACCCAGACCCTCGGTGGGCATGTGAGTCTTTTTCAGAGCCCTCCACTGCAAGGCAATGMCTGTCTTTGGAATTGGAATGAAATTTCCATAGCATTAAATGGACCAGGTTGAAGCTCCTAATTCAGTAGCATTGAGTGCATTTGCAATATCGTGCTGCCATCAAGCCATCCCATGGATCTAATTCCAGATCAGTCATCACCCTAAGAGGAGACCCTTTAAGCAGTCACTCCCTGCTCTTCCCTTCCCCTGGTCCCCAGCATCCACCAGTCTCCTTCCTGTCTCCATGGATCTGCCTATTCTGGCTGTTTCGTACAAGTGGGGATCACATGGTATATGCATATTGTGTCCAGCCACCTTTTCTTAGCATAGTGTTTTCAAGGTTCATCTGTGTCTTTGTAGGGGTCAGTGCTTCATTTCTGTTTGTGGCTGCATAATATTCCATGGCATGGATATACCACATTCTGTTTATCCATACCYATCAATGGACATATGGGTTGTTTCCACCTTTCAGAGATGGTGAATACTTCTACTACATATTGTTCACCATCTCCAAAATGTGGACCCAGTACTCCAACAGGTGTTTGTTGGAGTACTTGTTTTCAGTTCTTTTGGGGTGTGTATCCAGGGTACATGTCCTTTTACATACATTGTGAGCTTTATGCTGTTTTCAAACTCTGTTGACACTAAGTTAACATAGACCTAATCTGTAAGGAGAGATTGCCAGGTGCATGCTGGGGCCACAGCAACAGAGTGACAGATCCAAACAARTATGTTCTTGTTTTCCAGATCCAGAGACCACAGAAGATGGCCTCCAGTGACGTAAAGGTAAATTCCTGTTTTAACAACCCTGCGTCACAAAACCTGGCCCTTCACCTCCTTATGCCTCAGTGTCCTCCTCTGGAAAATGACAGAAAGATTAGTTCCCACCTTAGCCCCTGAAGGGCTATCAGGAGGATCAAGGAATTGGGGTCTGCAGACACCAGGGAGATGCTGAGTCTGTTGGGACTTTTCTTTAGCATCCTGTCTTACAGGTCAGGATATTTGGGCACAGAGACCTAAAGCCACTTGCTCAGATTCACACAGCTGGGRAGTGGCAAATCGGGTTTCAACCCAGCCTGACTTCACAGCAAAGCTTGGCCTGCTGTGTCCTGTGGCCATCCCAAGCAGGACTGATAAATCCTGACCTTGACGTTGGGGTTTGGGTTGGTTGGGTTTGGGGTATATCAGTGGCAAAAGTTGCAAAGGGGGAAGGAAGTGTCGGCTTCCCCTTCCGGAGTTCCCCCCCAAGGGCCTGGGGGCCGGCAGGGGCCGGCTGTGGAGGGGCGAGCTACAGGAGCCCAGGGTGGCAGGGGGTGCCTGGGGCGGACCCAAGAAGCCACATGGGGGTCAGCAGGACACAGAGTGGTAGCAACCTGTGTGTCCTCACATGGGTGGCAGGTGGCCAAGTGGCTGTGAGAGTTAGGTGGTCCCCAAGTTCCAGGTAACAAAGTGTCGAAGAAAGGTGTGGAAACGGCGGTGACTTTTCTTTCGTTTGCAATTCTSCGTTAAGTTAAGTGAACCAAAAAGGTACAGGCAGCTGGGGCACCTGTGCTGGGGACTGGCTTAGCCCCCACAGCTGTGCTGAGCAGAGGTGACAGTGTGCATCAAGATTGGTGAGGATGTTGGCGTTCAAGTATGTCCATCCCATTAAGGGAAAGGAAACAATCCATCAAAAGGAAAAAGTCACTTGTGGCGCTATGTTCTTAGCGTGTCAGATGCTGCTGACTGTACCTGCGCTGTTATTGCATGTGCTGTGAAGGACAGGGGGTCCCCGGCAGGCCACGGGGGAGTGCCGAGGCCTGGCTTTGACCCCCAGCACCGCGGAGGAAAATGCAAAACAGGCAAAGGCACATCCCGATCCCAAAGCTGTGAGAAAACATGGTCTTGGCGTTGCTGATAAAGGTGCTAAAAATGAGAAGCCGTCAGGATTCAGTAAGACCCTCTGACTCCTCAGGAAGTTTCTTGGCCATCGAAAAGGCCTGTCCCTGGTCTCCGGTCCTTGATTATAATTGTCAAAGATGCAAATCTGAGAGGAGGTGGTGGAGGAGGTGGGGAGGTGACAGAGGTCTGGATTGTGGCTGTTCCCTTTTGTGGCCGTGCTTTTGCCCCAGCCCCACTAGACGGAGTGGAGTAGGGCAAAGTCTGTTCTCYAGGTAAAGCCGGGCAGGGGTCCCGAGGAGGCGGGCGTCTGACTGAAGCTGGGCAGATGCAGGGGTGGGGGCGCCTTGTCACAGGCCGTCACCAGGGCACGGCCCCTGCAGGGCAACGGGAGGCTGAACCAACAGGGGACACACCTTGGGGAGCTCCTGGGGGTCACCACACCAAGGCTGGCCCTGGACAGCACGTCCAGGAGCTGGGAAGAGGGGTCAGGACCACCTGGGACAAACCCGCCTCTTCCTGGCCAAAGATCAGGCCTGTGTTCGTGGTCGAGCTGGTCGGGCTCCTYGTGCTCTGAGAACCGAGCCTTCATGGCTTTGCTCCTAGAGCTGTTTTGTTGACTGGTTCTCCTGGTCTTTTTGTGGGAGAAAGCAGTGGGGTTTCCAGCCCCAGGCAGACCTGATTTGCAGTGGCCATGGACACTGTCCTCTTGTGGGGTCCCTCTCTGCCTCTCCCTGCCTCTCTGAGCCCCAGTTTTCCTCTTCTGTAAAGTGGGACAATAGCTTGCAGAATTGTGGTGGAGGATTCATCGGCACTGGGGGCAGGGGCGGCTGGCTGCAGCACGCAGGGCRTGGACATCGCAGGCTCCATGGTGAGTACAAGGGGCCCATCGGCCAGCCTGACTCCTCAGCGCAATGCAGGCAGTGGCATCCGCCCACCCCATCTGGGGAACCTGGGAATTAGGGTGCTCTGTCCCCGAGCTCTGTCCCCAACCCTTTGCATTTTTTGAGACAGTCCACCAAGTTGTCCCTACTTACAGAGGAGCAAACTGAGAACAGAGAGGCCAAGTGACTTGACCCACATCACACAGCCAGTGAGAGGCAGAGCTGAGGCTAACCTCAAACCTGTGATCCTCCTCCCTTAGCCTCCGAGTCACTGGGATTCCAGGAGTGTGCCACCAGGCTGCTGAGACGCCCTTGTAGCCCTTTAGCTCATTCTGGGTGCAGGCTGAGGGTGCAGCTGTGGGCTCTTTCCGGTGCAGGTTGTCTGCCTTGGCTGCACATTAGCAATCACCACACCAGGCCAAGGAAAGCAGAACCTCTGAATCTGGAGGTTCATCAGGGCTTTTAAAAGTTTCTAGGTGATTCTAACGTGCATCTAAGGCCAAGAGCCACTGGTTGGGCAGGGCAGGGTCCCCTCTGTGGAATGTGGAGAAGGAAACCGAGGACCCTGAACTGCTGCCTCTGTCATTTCCATGGCTGAAGCAACTCTAAGACATTGTCCCTGGGGACTAAGCCATGCTGATGACAACTCTTATGTATTTATTTACGTACTGGAGGTTGAACCCTGGGGCACTATACTACTGAGCTACATCCCCAGCACCCCCTTAATGTATTTTTTTATTTTTAGACAGGGTCTTGCTAAGTTGCTGAGGCTGGCCTCAAACTTGCAATCCTCCTGCCTCAGCCTCCTGAGTTGCTGGGATTCCAGGCCTGCACCAYAGAGCCCAGCACAACTCTTAATTTCTGGAAAATGTTTTTCCTCTGCGTTTATGAAGCCAGCAGCACAACGTATGCCCTTATGGCTGTTGCTCCAGACGTTGGACCTTGGGACCCTCTCACTTCTCTGACTGTCATCTTCTCCCTCCTCCAGGGAAATAGGCAGGGCCTCTCCCCTTAGACTAGTGACCGTCAAACTCATTGCTGGTCTTGAAATCCATTTAGTGGGCTGTCTTAGGGTATAGAACAGGATAAAGTGGGAAGTCTGGGTGTCCCACACTCAGTAACTGCAGAGTTGGCCGCAGACTGTGCGAGTCAGTGCGTGCCAGGAGGAAGGATATGAAGTCTGATGTCTTACTGAAGAGTACTGTCCCAAGCTCCCCACCCAACATGGGACTTCACCAGCTGGGAGCTGGCAGTGTTCACAAGGGTCACCCAAGAGGAAGGCATATGCTGGGCAGCCTGGGTTGGTGTCCTAGCTCTGCTTCTCATTGGCTGTGTGACCTGGGGCAAGTTGCTTACCTCTCTGTTCCCAGTTTGCTCATCTGTAAACGGAGACGATTCGTTCCCCCTCCCCCCACAGGGTTCCGGCCCTGTGCTATAAAGCACTCTGCACAGAGCTCCTACCACCGCAGGTGCTCTGGAGAGGGTTCCAATGACCTGTGCCGTCCACTCCTATAGCTATGGTCTCCCCGCGGCCTTACAATCCTTGTGCCAGATTTGCAGCCAGGCCTGTTGGCTCGGGAAGGAAGCACAGGCTGGGGACCTGGGCCACCAGATGTGCCCCCAGTAGGGCCCCCTCCCACCTCACAGGCGTTGTTTTATGAACCTCGGACACACTTCCTCCCCGCCCCAGAAAAGGAAAACCTTCTACGCTTATTTAAAGACTTCCCTGATCTTAAAAATAGGCATTCCTCAGAACAGAGCCTCCCAGGGGGCAGGTGAACTGCCCTCGAAGTCATCCTGCCTCCCCGCGTGAGAGATCTGCCCAGGGTTTCATCCCTCCATCCCGTGTGTGTCCCTGAGGCCGGAGCCCACCTGGCCTGGCAGTGATCAGTCAGGGACAGGGGTGACAGACTCAGTCACACAAATAGGTGGATGTGAACCTGCAGTTGGGGAGCCTTGGGCCAGTCCCATGAGCTGGGATGCTTGAGAGGGACCTGAAAGAGGGAAAGGAAGAGAGATGACAAGGCAAAGCAGGTTACATATTCCAGACAGCGGAACCTGCATGTGCAAAGGCCCTGCGACAGAGGTGGCAGAGGCAGGGCAGACCAAGAGTCAATTATTGCTGATATGCAGATCAGGGCCACAGTGACAGGCTCTGCYGGGCAGTTCCCTGGACTGCCTGGGAGTGGACCAGGAGGCAGCAGAACCAGGGACAAGTCCCATGGCCTGGGTGGCCACGTTGCAGGACCTCAGTGTCCCCATCTGCTAAGGACAGAAGACCACAGCTCAGGACCTTGATTCCTCCTCTTACAGTGACCGTCATTCTTATTGCTTTTTTTTTTTTCTTTTCTAAATCCTTTTCTGCACATTTTCCCTCAGCAGAGTGTCTTGAAATAAAGCCAGTAGACTAGAGTTTATATGCTGGATTTATCATTTACTTATCATTTTTTGTTTTAAACAACTCTACACAAACAAGTTCTCAGCATAAGAAACTAAATCAATGAACATGCCTATATATAAACATATATTAGGTTGAACTTTATGAAATTCGCAATTTATACCAGTTTTAACTTACAAAAATGGCATTAACAAAAAGTCCTCATTTATTTCCAGAAAGTTTTCTTGAATTATATCTTTAGTTATTTTGGTTTTCCTTATTCAGGAATTCATTCTCTCCCTGCCTCCACTGAATACTCATTTACCACTTAATTTTTTTCTTTCTTTTTTTAAACCACTGAGCTTCATCCTCAGCCCTTTTTATTTTTTTATTTTGAGACAGGTCTCACTAAGTTACTTATGGCCTTGCTAAGTTGCTGAGCTGGCCTTGAACTTGTGACCCAGCCTCCTGAGTTGCTGGGGTTACAGGTGTGCCCCGCCTCGTCCAGCTCACTATTTGATTCTTTAAAGGCTGGATCTTCCTCTCCAAATGACAATTCTTATGGTTAAAACTAACAGGAAAAAATATGGAAAGTTCCTCTTCACCCTGCATGCCAGCCCCACTTTCTTCCCCTCCCGGGAGAAACC